ACACACACACACAGTGTGCACCACAGTGCAGTCGATAAAAAACGTAGTGACTGCACAGTCATGAGACTCTATGTATCATTTTCAGACGTAGCCATTTTTCACACATTTAGACGTCCAAGTGGATAACGGAGAAAAATCATCAAAAATATAGAGACCCCGGATTTTTTTACAAAGAGGTTTTGTTTTCTTTTGACCCCAGCTGAGAGGCACCTCTAACTCTTACGTTTACTTTAGTTATAAACTTACGGAAAATGTATCAAGTGTTCTGATTTGCAAGCCATCACCTGTCGAAGTGTTCTTTACTGTGTGGGTGCGGTTCGGGGATCTTGAATGTACCTGCTAATAGAGTAAGGAGAAAAGAGCTAAAATTTTTTTCCGCTCACTCTGAAAAGCGAATATTAACGAGAACGTCCAAATAACCAGCTTTCGCACTCCAGATAACACAGTTACTGTTATTTAATAACCCTTAGTTAAAAAAAATTCATACGAAGATGTGCAAGCAAGTAACGGCATCTCTACTCTTCTTATAAACTCTTGCTAAGTATATTTCGAATAATCTGCAGGGTCTACTCACGTGTTTTTTTTGTACACAAAATCCTTAAAATGCATTATCAACCCACATATAATCCCTCTTTATTTGCAGGCTCACAAGTCGCTACTCTTGTTGAAACCAACACAACTGAAACGACAACACAATTGTCAGTTTACAGTTCCACATCTTCCAACGGTGATCAGGCCCCATGGCACCGCTATCGATTTCTACTAATTCCCGGCACTTTGGGCATTTTAACTGTCGCCGGAATTATGGGAGCCTTATGTGCAATCTGTCGTCCAAAGGGAACAGCGCCAAACTGTTATTGTTGTTGCGTCTGTAAAACGATCCCTTCGGTTAACAAAAGCCGTAGCAAAAACAATTCACACCGAAACAAATTCACTAATAACAAGAGTGAAGTTCCGGCTGCAACAAACCTCTGCAACAAACCGTCTGAATCGCTCTGTTTGTCGCCAAGTCCTCAACCACATCAGTGGCGCCTTGGCATCGGTGGTGTACCACAACATTTGTTTACCACATCTATTCCTTCACAGGCACATTCCTACGCAACAGTAAAACCACGCATGCAAAATGGCAATCTGAATGAACAACCCAGAATCGCTGGAAACATTCCCGAATATGCTCTCAAAGTACTACCAGAAAACTACAAAAAACCGGCACATCTTCTGTACAGCATGTCAGTCGAAGGGACATCAGGTTCAGATAAGTCTGTGTCAACTGATGTAACAAAAGATACCTGCTATTACACCTGTACACCAAACATCCATTCAGCGAACAGAATGAGGAACATTGAATCAGATTCGGTTATACTGATTTCCAAAGCAGCATTTTGGAGTGAATCGGGGAACGTCCTTACTATCACAGTTTAATGACCTAAGAAATGTTGGAGGCCAATTTTCTCATATTGTCTGACATATTTTTACAGTTACCTTTAATACACAAAATGACATATCTGAACCATTTAGAAGTATTTTCTCTTATGCTTGGTTCTCTTACTGTGTTATTGTAGATAGCCCCTCCTGGAAAAGATCAAACGTTTTTCCCATACGGAGACATCGGTGAACGGTAGATTTAGACCTCCAACTTTTCTCCTCTGAATGTACTTTCCAACCTAGGATAAATAGGAAAAGGGCCGCTAATTCGGGAGGTATTGAGAAGTGTTTTAGAATGAGTGGATGAAAAATTGAGGAACTTTTGTCCCAATGGCACTGAGCAGGTATGACCTGAGGTATAATCGGTATAGTTTTCTCTTACGAGGAAACATTAATCGGAGAATGACACGTCTTGTTTTCAGATAATCCGCTGGTGTCTTAAAGACAGTTCTTATCAGCAATACGGGGAATGCACGTTCATAACTTTAATGGGTTACTTACAGGGAAAAGGGCTCGTGTATACTTGCAAAGAGAGCTGCATCCGGTTTCCATAGCAAGCTTGGAGTACGAAACAGCCCAGTGACTCGGCCTTATAGTGTCGAAAATGGCAGCCTCATGACAAACATCTGAAGGCGTGCTAATTATGTCACGATACATAACGGCTGACCAGTGTTTAACGCATAAGGGACCTAACAACTATTGTAGGCAAGCAGTGGATGCTAGATGTCCGTTTTTGCTGGTCTGTTTCAGGAATCAGACTACCCCTACCGCTCACCACAGACAGGAAGTTGGTTAACCTGCACCCGCTGCACTACTAAGTAAACAACTTCTGAGTTTTTACTTTCTTTCTGGTTTGTTTATATCCGAGCAACTTCCATTCTTTTCAAGCATCATACACGAAAATCTCCTCGTTAAGCAAATAAATGAGATTCTCAGGTCCACTTCCCAGTCGACGAGGAGTCCGCTGTAAACTGATGGGTCCACGAAGGCGCAATCTACTGACAAGATGCTGCTAGTATGGGTACGGAGGGCGCCGCTGTTTTTGCGGAATGCTTTTCGAAGGTTTAGCCTAACGTGTAGTCCGAGATGGCTCATAGTCTAATAGCCAGTGTTTAGGCTAAAGTTGTGCCCCCATGAAATCTATTACAAAATTTGTGAGCCTGTAGTTTCACTTCGCTTCCACTCAGGGATAAGTTTTCCGAGGGGTTTTGAGAAATAATTAAACATAAAAGACACTACAACGTTAAAGCCTAAACCGTGTAAGTCTTGCTACATTCTGCTTTATGTTATTCTGTCAATACACATTTAAGAGTTGAAAACTAAACGCAATTGTCATTGTGAAGTTGCACGAAAGTTGTGCCTCTGCTTAAGAATATTTGTAGGATATTCGGGGAGCAAAAGTGCCCAAGGCATTGTCTGTCAAGATAAGACAGCTACAGTTGTGTCTTCATAATTTCTCCGTAACTCACAGCTGTCAAGAAATTCACTGTGAATCTTACGTGGTCTACATGGGGCCACATGAC